AACAATTTCATCTTCTCTGTCTGGTATTGCAAATAGTTTGCTTCTTGATTGAAAAACACTTTGTTGTGTATGCTGTTTGCTGCCCAATATGCTCTTTTGATATAGATTGTCATTAGACTTTCTTTTTGATTTTGTGTACTACTCATTTTCTTATCTAGATATTAGTGATTTCTGTTTGCTACTTGTTATTCTGGAATCTTCTATGCTTTTGTTTATCACTATCCTAATTAGATTTATTTGCATACTAACTAATCTATGTGTTTGTTTTGTTTTTCTGTTCACATGTTGTAGTGATTTACAGATCTACGTTTCCAGGTTACAGAGAATTTCCCAAATTCTGTTTTTCCTAGTGTCGACCAAGGCATTTTTTGTTCTATCTTTTTAACAAGTTGTTTAAATTTCCTCTTTCTTGCCCTTGTTATACCTTTTTTACTCGCTCTATCTTTTTCCTTAAACCTGTGAAGTCAGTTTAGACAGTCATTTGTTGGTAAACTTCTAAATTGTTTCCTTGCAATTTGTGTACGAGTGATCAGTGAAAAGAATTTTTTTCCTTTTTCTTTTATTCAATTGGTCTTAATAACTTTTTAGTTACTATTATATAATTGGTTTTTTTCTTCTTGTGTCAAGTAGTTGGTTTAGATATATTAGACCAGTTTCATTTACTTTAACTGCCTTTTTTTTCTACAATTATGTATCTATCAGTTTTTGTATTTTATTACTATACTTAAACATTATTCATAGTTTACTTTTCATTTTAATATTTATTTTTAGTTTTTTTGTTTTGAGTATTATAAAGCATATTAAATTATTCTTCAAATATATTTTAGTTTTTGATTATTTTTTTGTTTTCTATATATCTTCTATTAAGTCTGCTCTTTGACAGCTTTGTGTTATTCTTAATCTTGTAGTTGTTTAAAACTGTCTTGTTTGTTCAATCTTGCTAAGAAGCTACTTATTTGCTTTATAGTTAATTCTTGTTACAATGTTCTATAATTGTTAAGATTTTTATGTTTTATTATGCAAGTTTTTACTGTTTTTTGCAGGCTGCTCTTTTGTTTTGTCAAACTTATTATTGGTTTAATAAAATATTACTATAACTGTTTAAGGAAAAATATATATATATATATAAGTATTTATAATTTAAAAAATAATTATAAAATTTATATAATTTAATTATAAATTATTATTTTAAAAAACCTAATTATATTTTAGCAAATACATTTTAAAAAATTTAATTATATAATAATAAAATTTTATTTAACAAAAACTAATTTAATAAAAATGTACAAATCTTTAATAAGCTTTATTTTTGTTTTATATAATAATAATATATAATTTTAGTTGTATAATTTGTAATTATTTTCTTTAATATAAGTTGCACTTTGGTATATAAGTTCTTATTAGTGCGCTAGAAATAAACAGCACAGTTTAATCAGTTTTTAAGTCAGTTAAAGTCAAGTTGACTATATTATATGAAATTTAAATAGATATAACAAAGAGTAATTCTAAAATTTATATCGAATCACATTAAACCAATAAAATTCTGTGCCAGGTTTTGTCGATCATTATGGCGCAGATCGTCGATCTACAAATCATATTCAAGGATCAGATGTAACGTAATACGATCAAAACAACGTTCGTTTTGTCAAAAATTTCTTATTTCTCAAAAACTGCATAAAAAATCACTTTTAGTGCTCTAACAAAAAGTTTTCCTTGAGCAATTTTACTATATAAACATTTAGAATTTAACTTTATTCTAGACGCTAACCCTAACATTAATGAACGTTAAAAAATTTTGCTGCGCCACCAACCTGGCACAGAATTTTTTGATGGTTGTACAACCTCACATGATTAAAAACTCGGAATTTCCGGATGATGTAACCTGCTTTTTTGGGGGTCGACTAAAGCGGAGCGAGTTTTAGAGTTACCTTTTTGATGCAATTGTGTTAATAGGTTATATAAGAATGTAATTTATGCAGTATGATGATCATATATTGAATTAATTCCGCTTTAGCCGACCCCCTTTTTTGGCAGTAATTTCTTTTTTAATCGAAGGTTCAGATATAATGACCAATAAAATTTATCCAATATAAATTTTCCGACCGATGAAAAAGTCGAAAATTGCCTTACGTAAACGGAAATCTCCGTCATTTTACAATAGGTTTCGTGCTCTGGTTCTTATCATTGTGTTCTTACAATTTTTTTAAAAATAAACTTTTTAATGATAAATTATGACATTGGTTTTTTTATCGATATCGATACTGTATAGTTATTGAATGAGTAGCAGACAATAATATATAGTTATTGCGATGATGATTGGTTGGTAACCGTACCAGTTGGGTTACCGAACGATCAGAAGAAAATATAAAATACAGTAGTTGGCGTTTACGGGAGCATGCAATAACAATAACGGGTTTTATTTAATGATTTACTATCTTAGTTTATAGTAAAAGCATTGAATTAAGTATGATATCATCCAAAGAATTTAATATGGTAACATAACGAATTTAACGAATTAACGAATGTTTGGATGAAATGTTTGGATGAATATTTGTAATTTCCTAAAAAAACAAAAAAATACGTAACTTATAGTTTTGGACTAGTGTTATTACCCAGGTCGAAAACAATGACCCGGGTTGTGATTTTTCGACCTGGGTAATAGCTCTATTTTGGATAAAACCTACCGCTAGGGAATTACATATTAATTTACACTTATTCCCAGTATTCGTCAGGGATATTAACGGATAATTTTGAAGATTGTCGTCATTCTTAAATTACATCTCCGCATTAAATTATTTAATTCTGTTAGATTCAAACATTATACATCAAGAAAATAATTATTACGCATAAGTTGATTATTAAGCATTTGAAAATAGGTACTTTACTTTTCTTGGTAACTAATTTAAAAGCTCACTATATATTATTATACGTATACATTTTAAACTAAGAATTGTTTTTGAATTCCTTTGATTTAATAATAATAAAATCAGGTTATTTTTTTGTTTTTTGAATCCTTGTGATTAATAAAATCAGGCCACGTACGTATTATACTTTGAATTCAATTGAAAGTTTCGTATATGGAATAATACTTGAAACGCCATCATTTTTCTACATTCAACTTTACGTTTGTCTCCACATTCAACTCCACATTCACCGCTAACAAAATTATATAATAAACTTTAAGACATGGATTGTTTAATTTAATTAATTTAAAATGACAAAAGTATCTTATGTATTAAAAAAAGTATAAAATTTTACTCATGACGAATCTTATGACTATGTACTCAAGTAAATTATACGTATTATTAAATATGCATTGATACTATTACTGTTGCCATCGTTACCATTGCCAACATAAATAAAACATTGCGTAAATGTAAATATAAGTAAATTAGAAATTGTTACATACGTATGTACGTACGTATGGACTTTTAGTAGTAATACAAACGCCATTTCTCTTGTTAACTATTTTAAGTTGATGATAGAATTATTACGGCCGATTCTATTGGATATTGAAAAATTCAAAAATAAGTGTTGTAACTTTTGATGACTTCACTAGCCACCATACAATGTCATAGTGTTGTACAGTGCCACATAAAGTCACATTCCAAGGGTACGTCATAAATTATATCATTAAGCAGGGGAACAAAACGTGTGTAATAGAATAATTTGTAGACAAAAATGAAAAAAGTTAGTTTTATTATTTTAATCTTAACAAAAATAGCATATCAAGTTAAAAATCACTTTGAGGATCTCGACTGCACTTTACGAAAGTAGATGATTACTAAAAAAAGTTAAAAATGTAATTGAAACCTTACATAATAGAGATAATATGAACAGGGATATGTTGAATAAAACGACAAAAAAGGATTCATTATTCTAGGTAAACAGATCAACAGTAACAGGGACCTGAAGTAAAGCGTGAAATATGAAACGAGAATTTCTGTACAAACGATAACAAAATGTATACCAAAAAAGTCGTTGTACCAAACTCAAAAAGTCAAATATACAACTATTTAAACGAATAAAAACATCATAAGAACATGCTGATGTGTATAAAACGAGTATTAACTATATAAAAAAGTACAATAGTGACGTAAAAACTCATGTCAATAAGAAATCGTAAATTGGTAGATAATGCGCAAGATCATCATACGTGTAAAAAAGACATGGATTTGGGCGTCTAGATTTGTAATGAATGTTGAGTTGTCTTGATTGTGTTTTCGGATTAGAGCGTATGTAATACGTAAGATACCGATATGTATACCGTTATGTACTGTACTGTATGTAAACTACATAATTAGAATTTTAACTATGTAGAATTTTTTTTGAAATGAATTTAACTAGGATTAACAAGGATTAACTAGGATGTAAGCGGGTTTGATTTTTGGGTCTCATAAATAATGTATTGATTCAAGTTTGGATACTTGTTTACGTCATATAAATATTTATTTTTCAATGACTCCGTTACTTCACCTATTTTAAACGTTTCATATCTGTATATGTTCATGTGAACTAGCTATATATGTTGTACTCTTGTCAAAAGGCTTTTATGCATCTTCAATAAATCCATGACCATTAGTGGTAACATTGACGGCCGTAACCCGTATATCTATTAAAAAATAGTTCTAACCAAAAAAAAGTTATATTAACACAAGTGTTTGTTTATCTTATATAATCTATATCGTTATCATATTTTGATCAACTCGTAAATACTATAAATTTGTAGATGTTTCTTGTTGTCCCTTTCAATTAAATTTTTGGATTAAATTTTTTGGTTGCTTAAATTCATTTACATCATACATATCGGAGTCATTTCGGGAGTCATATCTGTCATATTACTACAATTTAAAGATTAAAAAGTTAATTTATATTCACATTTTTTTCCATATTAATTATATTCCTGTTTTGGAATAACATATGATACTTCAAACTCTTACTTTTTTATAAAAACCCCCAAAAAATACATTCTTGTTTTTCAACAATCGAATTTCAAAAAAATGCAACCTCTATCACCTTGTGCTGTAGTGATTACTGGTCAATTAGGATTTGGTGGGTGTGGATCACCGAGGTAATTTATCATCTATTATTATTTATCAAAGTATCTTTTAATATATATATATTAATCGAAAAAATATATATTAATATTTTTTATTTATTTTTTTTTATTTTATAGATTAAAACCAAAATCTGTTAAATCATCTTTTAACAACTCATCACCATCAACTACTTCTTCTCATCAAAAATCATCTAGAATCGTTCAATCCATTTTATCATCTGTTTTACAATTGGCTTCAAGTACGAACTCAACAGTGGAATTCACTAAACGTGAATTTGTAAATTCACAAATTGAACCATCAAATAAAAAATCCTTATTATCGGAAATGTTGAAAAAAAATATTGATTCAAAGGAAATGAATCAAACTTTACGAGGAAAAGCCATAATAAATGACGTTATTACAACTGACAATGAAACTATATCAAATACTTCAACAAAGAAAGTCTTGAAATTTGGTAATTGCCCGTTGGTGGTTCGTGAAAGATCTTCAACACATGTAAATGATGATGATTCTTCAAAACCAAATTTGTCTACCGGTGAACCTTCGCAAACAACTTCTACAATCATGATGCATAAACGCACAACTCACCTTTCTCCTGTACCTATAACATCCCAACAAGATGATGATGACGACGATGATGAATCTGAATGTGATTTATGTGATGGTTCAGGTAGTGATGATGGTTATGTTGAAGATGACGATGATGATGATGACGATGACGATGACGGTGATGATGTTTCAGAATATAATGAAAATAGTGAAGAATATGATGTTAATGAAGATGATCATTTTCATGAAGCTTTGAATCAAAATAACATAATGTCAACTGATACAAATACTTTGACTACTGCATCTACCACCACAACTGCAACAGCGGCAGCAGCAACTACAACAGTTACTAGTACGACCGAATCACCAACTTCTTCTCATTCTACAGCATCAAATTATTCTACTGCCGTATCAATATTAACACCTACAAATACTACAATTCATTATTACAAATCAAAATCATTACCATACCCAAGAAATGGTATCATTATGAATGCACAACCAATAAATTTAAGAAGAAAAGGAATTCCCATACCATTATATAATCATTATGGTAGTAAAGATAAATTTTATAGACGAAAACTTTGCCATCGTCATAATTATTATGGTGATGAAAAAAGTAAAGATAAAAAATTAAATTTAGAATGGACAAAAGATTCTGATGATATACTTTGGCCTATGTCAACTTAAAAAAAAAAAAAAAAAAATCATTTGTTGTATTTGGTCATTTATTCTATGTTAGTTCTATGTCAGTTCTATGTTAGTTACTATACATAGTATCATAGTATCTTGTTCTTATTTCTTACATTCAGTGCAATATATTTTATTATGTCAATTAGAGTTATGATATGGCTTTTTGTACGAGTATGATAGGCATTAGAGTTATTGTAAATATATTTTCAAGCCTTTTTGTCAAAGAAAAATAATAAAGTTATCTTTTGTAAATACTTTTTAATTTATTTTTGGTACTTGTATTTATTATAATAGTAATCCCAGTAGCGATTACTGTAGTAGTTTATTACTGTAGTAGTCAATAATATATAGTTCTCATAGAGAAACAGATTAAATCATTAAATTACATACTCTATTGTGTTATCATTGTCAGACCGTATTACTTCCTTTGTCGTATCATCATCGTCAAATTGTTTGTTTAATTTTTTACCGATAAAATCTCTAAGTTTATGTAATGCCCAAACTATACTAAAAACTATAGAGAAAGCTATCACTAACCCTACATACCATATCGCTGATTTAGGTCCACGTGACATGTCAAGAAATTCATATACCCAATAATTATTTCTAGAAAGGTATATATCAGTTAAAGATTATGTAAAAGAAAGATCAAAAAAATCAATGTAATGTAATAACTTACATTAAAAAATTTATAAGAACTTCAAATAGATATAAAATTTCTATACATGTTGAAAACAAAAGCATTTTCCAAATTATTATCTGTCGATTTAAGAATAATTCTAAAATCATTATAACAAAATCCATTCCATGAACTGAAATATTTAACCATTGTATGAATACTGTATTTATATTTTTTGCCAAGAAAATCCAATAAATTAAGAATATTATAGCGCTATGAAAAAAAAATTTCAGATTATTTTATTTTTTATTATATAAGGAATCGATTAATGGTTTATTTTTGCATTCAAAAAGAACTTACTGAAATTGTACAAAAGTATGATAAAGAAGCCAAAAGAGCCAATTTAATAACTTTGGCTGATTATGAAAAGATATTGGTTTATGTGGTTTAGGAGTACGAATGTATCGGAATGAATGGTAGAATGCTACCTGAATTTTTTTGTAATCAATTTAATTAAATTTAATTAAAAAAAATTGTAAATATTCTTTATTATAAATGTTAAATTAAAACTTACAGTGAAATAGGCGACTAATCCTATATATGTCAAATTTGTAAAAAACACAAGAACATGTGCTATTGGTTGGGAAACAAGTCGTGAAATAAGAACGATCCATGAATATAATGTTATTATACCACGAAATATTGTCAAATTAATTGGACTTATGAACCATGAAGTAACTGATAATTTGGGATCAAAATCATGATAACCACAAAAATTTGCGATCCTTGATTCTTTGGACATTTGTTAAAAGAGGATGAAACCCAAATTTAAAGATTCATACATGTAATTAGGTTTTAATATTCTAGTAACCTCTCTAATTATTCGTGCCACGTCTTTTCTCCTTATTTAGACAGTTATTAGAACTGTGTATTTAAAAATCCTTGGAACATACATACATATTACATATGTACGTTCCTTCGAATTTGTATTAAGCCCATACATATATTTCCTTATTCATAAGTATGTCCGGTTTACGTACATATTAAAATCTTGGCACACAAATATTATCAACTACATAGCCATATCACGTGCGTCTGCGGGTTGAGTAATCGACATGCATGCATTTCAAGATCCGAAGAATGGTTGCCACATGATCCATTATGTGAAGATCGATATATAACGATTAGTAAGAAATCTCTAGAAAAAAAAATGAACTTAAATTCCATCCTTGAATCAATAAATTCTACAGAAAAAGATAAAGATGATGATGATAAATTTTACAAAGATTTATATGAGATACTTGGTTGCACATCTTCTTGTACTGTAAGTTTTAAATATTTTCCTATTTATTTTAAACATATTCGAAATATATTCGATACATTCGAATTTGATCGATTTAAATATCAATCTATTACGTATTCAATCTATTATTCCAGACAGAACAAATTTCTACCGAATATAAAAAACGTGCATTAAATTGTCATCCTGACAAAGTTAAAGATGGTAAGATTCGGTTTTTCTTATTAACTAATCTAAATTAGCTAATCTAAATACGTTCTAAATGCATTCTGATTCATAATAATCCTAAATCCGTAATATTTCTAAACAATGATTCCAAATACATTCTAACTATAACGATACGTAATAATTTAATATTTCTAATTACGTGATAATTCTAACAATAATTCTAAAATATATTCTATGAATTAAAAAGAAAATGCCAAAAAGAAATTCTACCAATTATCAACTGCTTACAATATTCTAACGGATGAAATCGAACGTTCTCAATACGACAGATGGCGTACAGGATCAATCAAGATTCCTTACAAGATGTGGAGAGAAATGGTTATGAGAAGAGGTCATGTAAGTTGATAATTTAGTAAACAGTTTTAAAAAATCTATGATTAAATTAAAAAAAAAAAAACTTGCTTATAACTTTTATCGTTAGACTGTTCATTGGACATCGCCACCAAAACAACCACTTAAAATAACTGATTCTTTAGATACAGAAACTTCTTCTAATCAATCTTACGATAATAATACATGCATTAAATATAATACTTCTAAATTTGGAAGAAAAAGTCGTCAAGATGATTTATATGAAAAATTTAGAAATTATGAAATTTAAAATTATTAAAAAAACATTTGAGAATAAATATCGTATGATATGAAAAGTTTTGGGATTTTTTGAAATGCTAAAGGTTGGCTTAATAAAAGTAGAAACTATGGATCCATGGATCCAAAATTTTCAATACTTATATAATTGCCATCATCTATCTATGGAAAACTGAATAGTTTTACAACCAACGAAATAACAAGAGATAATTATAAGAATACGGCGTATCTTGTGTGAGGAATGACGAGAATTATTGATTCATTCGTCATTATTTGTATTACTCAAATTTACAATTGCGTTCATAGTTAATTGTAACGTCTTCTAAACGCAAATTTCCTAATTGCACACGTGATTTTTTAAAAGTTCATTTTTATTTCTATCAAGCTTCTAAATACGATCACCTAAAGATCAAAGCCCATATTTTTTTTATGCATTATATCAAGAAAGGAAATTTTCTGAGGCAACGGTGCAGTTGATCTCCACAATAATATACTAATAAAATCTTTAAAGTTTAACCTACCAAAGAAAAATTTTGAAGTTACGGAGATGGGTAAGTATTTCCGATTATATAAGAGTTACAAGATTGTTACTCGATAAGTACAAATTTCTCTAAATTCGGAATTTTTTTTTTTTTTTTTTTACTACAAAAAAAAAAAATATATATCGATATTACATGCATATAATATACACAAAAGGAATATCAATAAAACTAAATGAGATACCGATACATAGCGATTCTATGCATTGTCTAAATTTGTTTTTTCTTGGGGTAATCCAAAATAGGCGAATTATTTTTAACAGTCCAAATCGTAAATAATTTAATATTTTGGAAATAATTTAATATGTTGAAAATAATTTAGTATGTTGAAAATAATTTAGTATGTTGAAAATAATTTAGATTGTTGAAAATAATTTAGATTGTTGGAATATTTTAGATTGTTGGAATATTTTAAAACATCAAAAATGTTTTAGAATGGTAAGAAAATATTCTAAAGTGACGAAAAAAATCATTTGGTGTAAAAAAAAAAAAAAATTTAATATTTCTCAAATATCTTAATTGATCTTCCTATCAAAAAATATACATGCCGCCCAAACTTTAAATTCTCAAAATCCCATTCAAATCCAAAAAATCTTACAGTAAAATTGTTTCAAAAACACAATAAAAAATCTCTTTAATAATAAAAAAAAATTTTATACACGATAATTATGAAGCGCATAAATATTCTTCACGGTTATTTATTAAGAGAAACCATACTTACAGTGATATATTAAAATCATGTATACGACGTGTTTTGATAATATATATCCCTCTAGTTGTTAATACGAGTTAATAGATCAAAAATCGCATACTAAAATTGAGTAGGAATTAATTCTATGCTTTGCACAATGTATACGTAATATTTAATTAGCATTAAAAACACAAAAATCGATATATATCAATATTCAATATCATTAGTTATATCAAGCCGAATTTACTAAAGTATGATCTAAATCTATCAAGATTTTACTTAGTCATCGCTATGCGTACCAAGAATCCATTATACTGTGTGATAATAATTTCGGCAGCCTAAAATAGTTTCGGTCCATTATAATATCAGCAACCTATATTAACAACGACTATAATAATATCGACAATTTCGGCAGGCAAAAAAAAAACCCCCCATTTTGAAGCCGTAAATATTTTGTAATTTAGACACCTAAGTATACATACAAAAACAATATTAAAATTCTAATAATTATTTCTCTAAAATTTTAAATGAATATCGTTGGGCGGCTCAAAGAATGAATCCCTCTAAATGCAACCCCCTAAATGCATGCCTTATGAAAAGCCCCCCTATATGCATGCCTACACTTGGGCCCAACTAATATAACACTTATAAATTCTTACCTCCCTAAATGTAATACCTCTCTAATGCATATCGATATTGACCAAATTTTTTACATATTGTCCCATTTATGTAGAGTGGGGGTTTACTTATTTCTACAAGTGATACAAATCACGTCCAATAGTAAATATTTATTTTCGCTAAAAGCACGTGAAATTTGATCAGCATTAGGATTAGAAGTTTGATTAGCTAAATTAAAGATCATTCTTATGGGTGGCACCAATTTTGTTAACACTCATTTTACCGACACCTGATTTCACCAACGTCAATTTTCCGACATTCATATTATTGGTATCTAGTAGCTCACCAAGATTTTCAGCCACGTGATTTTTAGCCAATTAGATTAAAGGATCAGGTGCAACGTAAAATCAAATTAAGCAAAAAGATTTTAAAGTAATAAGCATCATCTTTAGGATTAGGATCAAAAATAAAAAAGGGCATAGCTTATACTAAAATTTCACAAAAAATAGTCCTTCAATCTAATTGGCTAGAATCACGGTCCGGAAAAAATCTTGTGGGTGAGCTACGGGGGTTCACAAAATGTTTTATGGCACGTGATTACGCCACATCACGTTGTAAACATCTTTTGCATCTACTTTAATGCATTTAACATTTTTACTAACTTTTACTATAATAACATGCAATCTCATTGGTCAGTTTTAGGATATGTATAAATGTATCAAAAAAGTAGGTATAAAAGTATTAAAACTATATGGTTTGTTAATTTTTATTTTAATTAAACATAATTAATTAATTACTTTATAAATTACATTAATGCAGTTATCATTTTAAGATTATAATGTTCTTTACTTTAGTGGTTCATTTTTTAAAAAAAATAATATAAATAGACAGATATGAAAGTTTATTTATACAGAGAATCAAATTTATGACAGTCAAACTCAATGCACAGAGCAAGTTATGATATTTTTCATAATTATAAGAACTAAATATATGATGAATGTATTTACAAAGGAATTTCTTATTTTTTGAAATTTTATTTTATTATCTTATTTTAAAAAAACATTACAAGATTCAAATTATAATATATTATAAAATTTAGATTTATGTTATAATAAATAATTAGTTTACTAAGACCTACTTTTACTTTCATATTTACAAACATTTTATTCTTTCTTTAATATACAAATTTATAAGTTTCAATGCTTTTATTAATATTGTTATTAAGTGGTGTATTATAAAGGTTAAGATTGTGAGAGAAGAGATCAGAGAATTCTGTCTATTTATCAGTTAATATAGCTTTATAATTGAAGATTTTGTAATTGATGCCAGTATGATAATGTAAAAGTTTGCTATATGCATTAGTAAAAATTTAGATAGATATAAGAATAAAGTGATTACTAAATGTTAAGATATTGCTATTATCAAGTTTGTATAAGAAAAAGAATTAAATATTGAATAAATCAGTTCAAATATAATCAATATGGCTGTGACTAGTATTATTTGATTATATAAAGTGCTTGTTGTCAACACGTACATCTAGATCAAACATGTTGAAGTGGTATAAGTAATTAATAAGTTTAAATTTAAATAAAGAGTTATAGATATTATTATATATATTAAAGTCTTCAAGTATTATTAAATGAAGCTTATATTAAAAAACTTATTAGATCTATATAATAACAGTATTTTATATATTGTTACATTTTTGCATATCAGTAGAAAAGAGATAGATAGCTATAATTCAAAGTTTAATTTTAATTTTAAAAAAAAAATTTAGAGCAATTGCTTTATTAGGATATGTTTGGCAGTTATATATATGTGATTGTAAATGTTTTTGAATCATAATAATAGCACCTTCTGTAGAACTTTCTGAGTTGGCCTAAAAGTAAGTAAATAAGTTGTTATTATGAAATTAAAAATTAATACTGTTAGTAATTTTGGTTTCAGTAATACAAGAAACATAAATATTATTGTAAAAACAATAATTTTGTCAAGTTTCTTTTTTAGTTACTATATTATAATCTTTAACATTATGTATATAAATATTTAAATAAAAGTCATATAAAGATTATGTAGGTGTAAATACTTGTAATATAGTGTAACTATTAAGAAATAAGTCAAATAGAATAAAAGTAGAATTAGAGGAATTTGATCTGAAAGAAGGTTATAAAAGATAAGAAGAAAATAAGAATGGATAACAGTATAATTAAATAAGTGAAAGTTATTTGAAAAATATATATGAGTTTTATTATAAGTATTGCTAACAGAGAAAGTAATACTAGAAACAGTATTATTGTAGTTATGTTTGTTAATATGTTATATAAAAGATTAAATAGTTTGGCTATAAGAAAGAAGTAATAAGTTATAATAAAGAAGAAATTTGTTAAAACATATATAAAAATCATAAGGGCTTAAAGATATTAAAAATGATCTTTTGAAATTGTTTTCTACAAGATCAATTACTGTATACTCAGCTTTTACTGTTATGCAAAGTACCAAAGTCTGCTTTATATATTGGGTCTGATTGTCATTATTTTGGTCTTCCATATAAATATGCTTTACTGCCTACTTACTTACATTATTTTTCCTATTAACTACTGTGGATATGTTATTTAATAAGATAACAGCTGTATCTATAAGATTTTATTATTTTTTTTTAATATTATAATAAGATCTTGCTTATAATTTTATTAATAATTTTAACTATAAGGTGTGATGATCTAGTGAAGTAAATAGGTTGTCAACCTCCAAGTGGCAGGTCTAGAGTTCAAATTCTAGTGAGGGTAAAAATTTGCAATTCTTTCTGTATTATGGCTAACTGTCTTCCATGATTGGTTGGGATAGAATACCTGTAACTGTGTCATACCAGCCTAACTGGAAGGTCTAAGGCACTCGTACAACATTGTACGAGGGAACACAAACCGATACTGGGCAGTGTAAACCCAATATAAGTTCTTAGGCCATGTAAATTAAGGGAACCAGATAGGAAGATGGAAGCCCACTTGCATCAGCAGAATAAATATACGAAATATTGCGAAAGATTTTGCATACCAAAAATCTTTCGAAATAACTGCGATTGACGCGAAATTATTTCAAAATAAAATAATTTCGCAATATTGCGAAAGAAACG